AGAGAGGGAGTCACAGACTGAAACAGGCTCCAGGCTCTGAGCTGGCAGTCAGCACAGAGCCCGACGCGGGGCTCGAACCCACGAACCGCGAGATCATGACCTAAGCGAAAGTCGGACGCTTAACCGACTAAGCCATCCAGGCGCCCCGATTTTACTTTATTATTTTTTAATGTTTATTTTTGAGAGAGACAGAGACAGAGAAACAGAGAGAGAGTCCAAGTGGTGGAGGGGCAAAGAGTGAGGGAGGCACAGAATCTGAAGCAGGCTCCAGGACCCCAGCTGTCAGCACAGAGCGGAGCGGGATGCAGGGCTTGATCCCACAAACCATGAGAGCACAACCTGAGCAGGAAATCAAGAGTCAGACACTTAACCAACTGAATCATCCATGCGCCTCTGCCCTTCATTCTTAGTGTAGATGTTGGGAAAGGCAGCTTTCCTTGCAGTTTCCTGGGGATAAATGATGGGAAGGTTGGCAGGTTTATTTCTAATTCCTCCTTAGATGTATCCTTTATTTTACCAGGATTTTGCAGGGTGATTGCATCAGACTGTAACTTGAGCAGGTTCTTGTCTTTTCTGTTTCCTGAATACAGAAAATAGAAGGTCAAGTTCGCTGTGGTTGAGCAAATGCATTGAAAATGCATCACTGGTCTGGATTCCTGCACTGACTTTGTTTTTGGTCTAAGTATTTTTTGGTATCTTGCCAGCTCATGCATTTTTTTAAAAAAAGTATTTATTTTTAGAGTGGGGAAAGGGCAGAAGGAGAGAGAGAGAGAATTCCAAGCAGGCTCAGTGCTGTCAGTGCAGAGTCCGACTTGGGGCTTGATCTCATGAACTGTGAGATCATGACCTGAGAGCTGAGACCAAGACTTGGGTACTGAACTGACTGAGCCACCCAGGCACCTCCCTCCTCCTTTTTTTTTGAGAGGGATTGAGGGGGAGAGAAGAGAGCTGAGAGACGGTGGCAGACAGATTGTGCTCCTGTGCAAGCACAGAAGTGGGGGAGGGGCAGAAGGAGGGAGAGAATCTTAAGTAGATTCCACACCTAGTGCTGAGCCTGATGCGGGGGCTTGATCTCACCACTGTAAGATGATGACCTGAGCTGAAATCAAGAGTTGGACACTTAACTGACTCAGCAACGCAGGAGCCCCATGCTCATGTAATTTTAAGCAAAGTTTAAAAACAGATTTTTAGGGGCACCTTGGTGGTTCAGTCAGTTAAGCAGCCTACTTTGGCTTAGGTCTTGATCTTGAGGTTCACAAGTTCGAGCCTCACATTGAGTTCTGTGCTGTGCTCAGAGCCTGGAGCCTGCTTCGGATTCGGTGTTTGTGTCTCTCTCTCTGATCCTCCCCTGCTTGTTCTCTGTCCCTCTCTCTCTCCCTCTCTCTCAAATAAACAAATAAATAAATGGAAAAAAGAGAGGCAATTGGATGGCCCATTTAGTTAAGCATCTGACTTTAAAAAAATAAATAAATAAAAACAGATTTTTATTGACTTATTTTCTCTGGTTCATAGTGTAGAAAACAAGTAACTCTTTTCTTCTTCAAGCCTTCCTTTCTTTTGTCCATAATGTTCCCTTATTCCATTTTGTGGTTCAAGATGCATCTCAGGGCTTTCCCTAAATCCCTGTTTGAGTTAGAGGTCTGTGCCTCATTCTTCATCACATTGTATTGAAGCTTGCTTCAATTGCTTCAATAGTTTCTTGCCGGTCGCCATCTCTCTTGTCTGTAAGTACTGTGTTTTGTTGTTTAAAAAAAATTTTTTAATGTTTTATTTATGAGAGAGGGAGGGAGGGAGGGAGAGAGAGAGAGAGAGAGAGAGAGAGAGAGACAGCGTGAGCAGGGGAAGGTCAGAGAGAGAGGGAGACACAGAATCTGAAGCAGGCACCAGGCTCTGAGCTAGCTGTCAGCACAGAACCTGGCGCGGGGCTGGAACCCACGAACTGTGAGATCATGACCTGAGCGGAAGTCAGACGCTTAACCGACTGAGCCATCCAGGCGCCCCTGTGTGTTGTTTTATAAAAAATTCCCTATTTCCTGGCCTGGCAGAGTACCAAACACCAGTTGGGTTTAGAGTAAACATTTGTTGATAGTAAATGATGCAGGTTATTGATGAAAGACTGTCAAGCCCAACGGTCAAGAAAGAATTCTTGAGCCATTTTATGGTGCAAAATGCTATTTTAATGATAGCACAGGGACAGGACCCTTGGGTAGAGAGCTGCATAGTGATTTCGAGGATATTCTGTTTATACAGGGTTGCCTCTCCTGCAGCGGTACAGGTGAGTTTAGGGCTCCAGGAAATTGAGTTTATAGGTTCCTGGAGGTCTAGTATTAAAATTTTTCTTTTTTTTTTTTTTTAAAGCTTTGTTTAGTTAATCTCCTTACCCTATGTGGGGCTCAAACTCATGACTCTGACATCAAGAGTTTCATGCTCCTCCCAGTGAGCCAGCCAGGTGTCCCAAGATTGTGTTTTTCTTGTAAATCATTAAGACAGCTACAAACTAGAGTTTCACATCCCACAAGACTGTGATCTTTATCAGTTGACCATTTGTTTTTCCCTTGCTTTTGTTCTTAGGCATTTACTAGTGCTTGAGGATCTATGTCCCACTTTAAGGTTTGCCGGCTGTCAACTCTGTGTTTTGCACTCGGCTTGCCTTTTGCTCTTATCAGTGATGACGACCCAAATCATAATAACTTGACAGTCTCAATTTAGGACTACAAAAACAAACACAGAAAACAAAGGAGGAAAGCACACAAATCCTTTATATCCTAATTTGCATGCTATACACCTCTTCAGGATACTTCATATACAACTGAAAACCAGCCTCTGTCAGTAGGAAAACTGTTTATTCTCTTCAGTGGTTTCATTCTTGGCTGACTCAGGAAAACCAGGTCTACTTCCATTATGAAGTCTCCACAGCCCTGAGAGTCTGGTTTTAAGTGGTGGGTGATGCGTTGCCATTTAATGTAAGCGGGCTTTGCCTCCTTTCCTGGAATCCATACTTCTTTCTAAACAGAAAAATGACCTCCATTCTCCGTGCTGCACGCAGTTTTGTCGAATGATTGGTGGCCTGGATGGCTAGAATGCTCTAATTTTGATGCAGCTTGGGTATTTTTACAAGACTTTTCTTAAGCCTTCAGTTTAGTGCAGCAAACAGGAAGAACCTTTTGCTCGAGTAGTTCGCGCTCTGTCGCTAATGTACCAAGAATTTTGGTGAAATTAATTTCTCTTTTACTGAAGAGCTTTTCATATTCTCTTAATCCTTGAAAGTTAAATCACAGATTTTATATTTTGTGTTCAGCTTTTTATGTTCTTAATTCTTGCGCGGGGGGGGGCGGCAGTGATAAGGGGGACTCTTAGGTGAAAGCATTCATTCTTTGTGACTCCGCCTTAGATCTGGCTAAGGTTACAGAAGACTACCCTTTCTTGCTTTGTTTAAAGACACAGCAGTCTAGCGTTTGTTCTTTCTTAAACTTACCATTTGCCAGAAGCCGCACAGATCTATTTCTACCACAGTCTCATTTTTACAGACACGAAAAGTGCGACTCAAGTTCGGCGTCCTGCCTCGGGTACCTCTGGGATTCCAACTCAGGTCACCGCGCCCTCGTCCTCCCCGGTGGCCGTGGATCGCCCCCTCCGCCTCTGCGGGTCGTTCCAGGCTGCATCCAGGCCACTCTGGGGCGCTGGTGGAGGTGCTAGGGTATTCGGGCCTCGCAGGGCGTGAGAACTCCAGGGTCAGCTCCAGCGCGCTGGCTGGCCCCGCGGTCTTTCTGGTTATTCCCATCCCCCTCCAGGACGCGGGGCCAGACCTGTGAAACATAGAGCTCACGTAGCCCAGAGCGTCCTTTCCCCCCCGCCCCCCCGCCGCCGAGCGCTGACGCCGCGCCGCTGGGCGGGGCCTACTGGAGGGGCGGAGGGAGAGGAGGGGGGAGCGGACAGGAGAAGGGCTGGCCGGCCCTGCAGCGCCCCGCAGCGGCCGCGGCCGGAAGCGGTCTCGTCGGCCCTGCGGCGCTGGATCCCTGACGCACGGAGCTCGAGAGCGAGAACGAGAGAGAAAGGGGCAGAAATGGCGGCTCCGCTCGGCTCCCGCTGAGGAGGGCGAAGCCGGTGGAGGGTCTGAGCTGTCGGCCTGGTGCATCGCTCCCGCCTCCCGCTTTCTGCCTTCTCACGCCTACTTCCCTTCGTCGGCCCTACTCTCGCCTGTCCTCTGCGCTCCGCAGAGTCCGGGTCGGCTCGTCTCTCCCGGCCCGGCTCCACTGGCCCTGACTGCCCGGCCGGCGGGCCGGCCTTGCTCGGCTCTCCCAGGCGCGGCGGGCGCTGTGTGGACCCCGTCCTCCTGGCTGGACCATGGTGAACACCCGGAAGAGCTCTCTGCGTCTTCTCGGGTCCAAGTCGCCTGGGCCCGGGCCTGGGCCTGGGGCCGGAGCAGAGCCTGGGGCGACCGGAGGCAGCAGCCATTTCATCTCCTCTCGGACCCGCTCCTCCAAGACCCGCGCTGCCAGCTGCCCCGGCGCCAAGGCCGGGGGAAGCGGTGGCGCCGGCGTCGCCCTGGAAGAGGCCCGGGTAAGAGCGCGGCGGCCCGAGTCCGGAGGCTGGCGGGTGCCGGCCCGGCCGCCGGGGCTTTGTCTGGCCGGGTTAGGGCAGGAAGCCTCCAGTGGAGACCGCTCGGGCGGCTGGGGACCGGGGCTGCGGGTGCGGTGAAGGATGGCACCCGGTTAGCTAGGGCTGCGGTAGCTTTGCTGCTCTGGTTCTTTTGTGTGAAGAACAGGGCTGGAGTCTGGGGGAGAGGGCTCCGGAGGGGAGGGGGTGTCTTTTTAGGGACATTAGTATAGTCTGGCTTCCGTGTCCTTGCCCTGCCTTAGAGGGGAATTCTAGGGGAGCGAGAGCGAAAGGCCGGAGCCCCCGGGTGGAAGGGCTGGGAGAAGAGAAGTGAAAGTTTTCTGCGGTGTCAAACCCTTCTTCTTGTAAGTGTGTCAGCTCCTGCCGGTGTCTAACTCCAGCTTACTCTCAAACTGTTTGGGGGTGGTTCAAGTTGGTGAGGAAGTGAACGGAGAGCTCCAGTTGGCAGCCAGGCAGGGATGTTGAAAAAAGTTTGTAGCTGCTCTGACACCAACTTTAAAAACAAAATCAACGCTATCGCCTCTCCAGGCAGGAGAGATCAAGCATGATTTTGTAGCTGCAGAATCAGCCCGCTAGCTAACGAGGGTTCTACTAGGGACCTAGTAGAGCCTTCTAGGAGAGCTTTCAAGGCGCAGAAGGGGCATGTCGAATGTTTTGGGATAGTAGACGCAATTTCCAAATTGTCTGGTTTCTTGGATGTGTGCATTTTTGTTACGGGGATAGTTTATTGAAAGGTGAATTAACACCATGGTTGTCGCACTATTGCAAACATGACATTCGAAGAAGGCTGGTGATGTAGTTTTTTTTTTTAAAAAAAATGTGGCTGAAAGATCTTGAAATTTCATTATAGTATAAAACTCCAAGCTAGCACCTGTTTTAGCACTTTAAGGGACTTGATAAGTTTGTGTTATAAGATTGGTTATGAATTCAGAAAAGTGTATGGCTTCTGTCTAGCAAGAGGCTAATTTACTAAGAGCAATTTGGCTGGGAATTGCCATTCATTTAAAATGGTCCTTTAAATCCACACCATTTTGTTATTCTTGTGGGAGGGAAGCAGTGTTTTATTTTCTGTGGGGTCTACAAGATGATGGTTTGTGCCTGTGTTTTCTCTGTATCTCCTACTGTTGTGAAGCTAATCAGAATGAATCTCCTTTTCTTTTCCAAATGTATTCTTGAAAATATATTTGGCTTTTATTTTGTCAAAAGTCTAGAAAATACTTTAAACACTGTCCTGTTAGTGGACTTTTTTTGGGGGGGGGCTAACAGATCTCTTAGGTTAAAATAAGAAAGCTAGATCTGAAAGTTATGTAAACTAGAATACTTTTTCTGAAAACTTCTTTTTATAGAGATTATGCCAAATGTGTACAAGCTTATTGGCTTTCTGAAGCTAACATATATTTCAAAATAAAAATAAATTTAAGAAAGGTCTGCTCTCTACATCTAAGTATAAATAAAATATTTAGAGTGTAAGCATTTAATTGTATAATGGTATGAATACCTAGTCTGTTAGGGCATTGTCTAATTCATCTGAAGCAATTAGTTCATCTGTCACTGATCAGTTTGTGGTCCCGTTTTGGAATTCATGGATATCATGCTGTCCTTATCCCCTGAGGAATAAGGTGAGGTAATTTGTCAAGCAGCTGTTATGGAGATGTTAAAAGGCAAGGAATCAATAATCTAATGTAGAAATGAACATTTGGTAGCTTTTAAATTGCTGGAGGAGTGAAAGATATTAGAGGTTTTTCTAGAAGGATGCTAATGAAACTTGTTTCAAGGATCCTTTTAGAATGTCTTAAAAGGTCATTAATAATAGACTCATGAAGATTTACTTTAAAATGTTTGTTTTTCAGTTTTAAGAAGACTTGTCTTCTGGCTGTAGTAGGGGAGAGAATGATCTAATGGCTTTCTCTGAGAAATTTAAAGGATTTACTAATTCTGTATTATGATCGGTCATTTGAAAGAGGATAAGTTATAATTCTGAATTTGTTAAGTTTATGGACTACGTATTTATGAAGAAATTTGTGTATTTTTCTTTGCAGTATATTTCTAAAATGGGTTGATTTGAGTCTGGTAAACTCTCTCAAGTTGGTTTTATGAATTATAAAAAATGAGTACTCTTTCCAGTGTATTGAAGGGCACTCTCTGTGTCTTTGGGGTTTTAGACATTTGGTGGCATCTGTGAAGACTTTCTTGATGGAAAATGGGGTTGTTCATGCTGTTGCTTTAGGAGACCCTTATTTTTGTAAGAATTATATTCCTCTTTATAAGATACATAATTGAGGAGATTCTCCTTTTTCGTTGTGTTCTTTACACTTGATGCTAATCTTCCCTCTCTGCCTCTCAGAATTCTTTCTAGATTTCTTTTTTTTCTTCTTTTCCTTCTTTCTTTATTTCAATTTAGGAGAGAGAGAGAGAGACTGAGAGAGCGTGAGCGCACGCGAGCGCACAAGCAGAGGAGAGGGGCAGAGGGAGAGAGAATAACAAGCAGATACACGCTTAGTGTAGAGCCTTGACTCAGGGCTCGATCCCCCGACCCTAGTATCATAACCCGGACCAAAATCAATATTGGACCCTCAACTGACTGAGCCACTCAGGCGTCCCTCTTTTTAGGTTTATTTAAAAACAATTAAAAAAATTTTTTTAAATTTTATTTATCTCTGAGAGAGAGAGAGAGAGACAGAGAGAGACAGAGAGACAGCGTGAGCAGGGGAGGGTGAGAGAGAGAGGGAGATACAGATTCTGAAACAGGCTCCAGGCTCTGAGCTAGCTGTCAGGACAGAGCCCGACGCGGGGCTGGAACCCATGAACCGCGAGGTTGTGACCTGAGTTGAAGTCAGACACTTAACTGACTGAGCCACCCAGGCACCTCCCTCATTTTAGATTTCTTGGGCTGTGTCTACACAGCTGCTGTGTCTATATTTCATTTGCTTTAAAAAGCCATAGGACCTGAGCTGTGTGTATAGTTTGCCTTTCTCCCAAGTAGGTTATTGGAATGATTTTCTTGTACCCACACTTTTTAAATGTCAAGCAGACTTGTGCTATGCAGTTAGTTGTAATTACTCTCATTCCTGGCTTTTTTTGTTTGTTTAGTGTGTTTAAAGTTTGACCTCCTTTAGGTCAGTTAATCTGATGATCAGTAATTAGCATTTGTTTGCTCCACCGAAGAGTCACTCTCAGCGAACTAATAATTGTATTCACAGACTTGGAAAGCAGTTTCTGAAAAATACTTCAATTCTTTTTCTATTAGGTCTGTTTGCTTTTAGCTTCATCACTAGGTTTTTGTGCTTTCTGAGAAGGTTATATTCTACTCTCTGAGTCCACATCTTAGTTGAGAGGGTCAAAATAAGTATTTTGAGTAACTTTATAGGTAAATTTCCTTTATCATAATTAAAAAAAAAAATCCCCTGGGTCCTTCTGTAGTATGCTCCTTTATCACCCTGTACTTCTTTTCCAACACCCATGCATTTATGGACATAATACAAGCAGAGTGGCTGAAGTTGGTGGTTAAACATGGAAAAGAAGTCTGAGAGCAAAATGTAATAGTGTATCTAATATATAACTCTGAGGTAAGTGGGGAAAAATACAAGTCCTTCAGAGTAGAGCAAGTTTTTCCTTATATGTATTATGAACATATACATACATACATAAATGTATTTATTTGTATCTTCAGTTATGTGGTAAACCATATCCCTTCACAGCCTTGAACCAGAGTAGCTGTGGAGTTCATAGGGTTATCTGTGGGAACCAATTGAAAATGCAACTTAAAAAAAAATTTGATTACTGATCATTTCTGTAGTCTAGATAGTCAAACTTGCAGTTAAAAATTGTTTTTTAAATGTTTACTTTTGAGAGAGAGAGTGTAAGTGGGGTAGGAGTGGAGAGAGAGGGAGACAGAATCTGAAGCAGGCTCTGTGCTGCCAGTGCAAAGCCCGACGTGGGACTGGAACCCATGAACTGTGAACTCATGACCTGAACTAAAGTCGAATGCTCAATCGGGGGAGCCACCTAGGTGCCCAGACTTGCAGTTTTTAAGGTCATAAATGAAATTTACACACCTGTAGAAGTGAATGATGTTAATTTCTTAAGCTCTTTTTCCAGGACAAGTAGTCTTTCTAACCATTCTTTGATAGGCCCTTGGGTGCTTGTCTCTTAAATACCTAATTATGGATAAACCTCTAACCTCTGGAAGCCAGCTGGACAGATGATAGGATTACTGCTTGTTAGGAGATCTAAGAACCAGACCAGTGACTTCAGCTGAGTGGAGAGTGATCCCATCTCTTCAAGGATCCACTTCAGAAAAGTGCTGTATTTGAATAGTCTATTTGGCATTTCTTTTCAGATATGCACAATGAAGTTTCATTTGTGTGCATTACTGGGCTTATTTCTTGACATTTGAGTTTTTGGTCTTGTATTGGGAATATTTTATATTTGTTATGCCTCCATGCTAGGGGAGGATTTTGTGAAAAGTGAGTTATTGATTAAATTGCATCTGGGATTTTTGATTAAACAGTTCCATGAAAGTACAAAGGGGAAAAATCATACATAAAATATTTGTTTACCATACAGAAAAACAAAAATTCTCCTCTAGACTCTTCTAGTAGAGTAGGCCATAAGCTCCATGTGGGTAGGCACTAAATTTTATTTTCCCCCAACTGCTGTATCCCCAGAGCCTAGTGCAGCATGTGATGCATAGAAGATGCTTAATAAATAGTTGTTAATGAATGAATAGCTTGTTAAGGAGCCAGTCTATCTTGTGAAAATCATAATGTTTGGACTTTGAGAATAAAGGATTAAAAAAAGACACTGCCTCTACCTTTAGGAGTGTAAGTATGCACATAGTGTATATGTAAGAAATTATTAACAAGGCAATTCAAATCAAGGTAGGGGCTACATGAATGACATACACATTCCATGGATGAATTCTGATATTTTACTTATTTTTT